TTGGGACGGAGTTTCCCGTCCTGCGTCTGCACTCTGACAGAGGTGGTGAGTTCTCCTCCGACCTCTTGGCAGCCTTCTGTGCGGAGCACGGCATCGCCCAGTCGTTCACGCTTCCGGACTCTCCGCAGCAGAATGGGGTTGCTGAGCGCCGCATTGGCTTAGTCATGGAGGTCGCTCGTACCTCCATGATCCATGCGGCTGCCCCCCATTTTTTGTGGCCGTTTGCGGTCCGGTACGCCACGCATCAGCTCAACCTCTGGCCCCGTGTCTCCTTGCCGGAGACCTCGCCCACACTGCTGTGGACGGGGAAGGTTGGCGATGCGTCGCGTTTCCGGGTCTGGGGTGCTCGTGCCTTTGTCCGCGATACCACCGCGGACAAGCTCTCCGCCCGTGCAGTTCCCTGTGTCTTCCTTGGCTTTGTCCCTGACGCGCCTGGTTGGCAATTTTACCACCCCACCTCGCGCCGTGTCTTTGCGTCTCAGGACGTCACGTTCGATGAGTCGGTTCCCTTTTACCGTCTCTTCCCCTACCGCACTGCCCCTCTCCCTCCCCCGCCGCTCTTCCTCGCTCCAGGTGCTCCCCAGGTCGACCCTCTCCCCGCTCCAGGTCCTGCTCCCTCAGGTGTGTCTCAGGTAGACCCTCCTCCCTTCCCTGCGCCGGTTGAGGTCACTGGTGACTCAGGTCCTGCTGGGGGTGGTCCTGCTCGGGGTGCTACTTCTGGGGGTGCTGAGTCTGGGGGTGCTGAGCCTGGGGGTGCGGAGCCTGGGGGTGCGGAGCTTGAGGGTGTAGAGCCTGGAGGTGCTGAGCCTGCGTGTGAGGGGTCTGGAGGTGCTGGAGCTGGTGGTTCTGGGGCTGCTGAGGGTGCTAGCGCTGGAGGTTCTGGAGCTGCTGGAGGTCCTGGTGCTGGTGGCGCTGGAGCTGCTGAGGGTGCTGGCGCTGAGGGTTCAGAGTCTGCTGTTGTGCGGTCTCCTTGGAGTAGCCGCCTTCGTCCACGTGTGCCTCTCACCTCGCAGCAGCTGCACGACTGGTACGGTCGCCGTCAGGGTCGCGCTGCTGGAGCCCGGGGCTCTACTGCTGGAGGTACTTCTGCTGCCGTCCCTGGAGCTGGGAGTGGTGCTGGTACTGTTTCTACTGGAGGTGCTGGAGTCGCTGGTCCCGGAGGTGCTCGTACTGGAGGTACTGGAGCTGCTGGGGCTGGGGGTGCTGCGTCTGGGGGTGCTGCTGCTGGAGACATTGAGGCTGGAGACCCTGGGACTGGAGGTACTGGTTCTGGGGGTGCTGCTGCTGGAGGCACTGGGGTTGGAGACCCTGGGCCTGGAGGTGTCGGTTCTGCTGCTGGAGGTGCTGGAGCTGCTGGGGGTACTGGAGCTGCTGGAGCTGCCGGTTCTGGTGCAGCTGCGCCGCCACGACTGTTCTTCGCTCCGCCGTCTCCGTCGTCTCTGCCGCCGCCTGACTCTGCTCTTCGTCAGGTTCTTACTCTCCCGTCGTCTACTGGTCTTCCGTTACAGCCTGGCTCACCGCTGCCTGCTCCTTCTCCTTACACTGAGCAGACGGGTAGTCTTGCTGAGCGTCGTGAGCCTGCGTCGCGTCCTGTCTCGCCTGTTCGTCCTAGTCATACCGGTCGTCGTGTTCCGTGTCCGCGTTCGCCGCCTGTCCCCACCGCACACCTTGTCGTCCGTCGTCCTTCCTCTGTTCCGCAGTCTGTTTCTCTGCCGTCTCCTCCTGCGTCTTCCTTGCCTCACGTTCCGGACCCTGAGTCTGACCGGTTTCGTGCTGAGCACCCTACTGTCACGCGTCTGCTCGCCACTGTTGTCACTGACCCCTCGTTTGAGTCTGCTGCTGCGACTGCTTTGGTTGCTGAGCTTGTTGACTTTGCGGCTGCCTGTCGTCTAGACTACGCTACTAGTCTTGTCGCTGAGTCTGAGTCTGTCTGTCCTCCGTCCGTCGGGGGTGAGTGTGCTCTTAGCACGGACGTCCTTGAGGACAGGCACGAGGACCTTGAGTGTCTTGCAGCCGCTGCGCCTCATCTCGTGACCATGCTGCTTGCCCCTGAGGGAGACCCGGATGCACTAGACATCCCCACCCCGCGCTCGTACGCTGAGGCGGTCGCGGGTCCCTACTCCTCTCAGTGGCAGGCAGCCATGGACGCAGAGATGGCATCCTGGAAGTCCACAGGCACCTACGTCGACGACGTTCCCCCTCCTGGGGCGAACATCGTCAGTGGCATGTGGATTTTCAGGGTGAAGCGGCCGCCGGGTTCTCCGCCTGTCTTCAAGGCACGTTACGTTGCTCGAGGCTTCAGTCAGCGAGAGGGGGTTGACTTCTTCCAGACCTTCTCCCCCACCCCGAAGATGACCACTCTTCGGGTACTGCTGCACGTTGCCGCCCAGCGTGACTACGAGCTTCACTCGCTTGACTTCAGCACAGCTTTCTTGCAGGGCAGCCTGCACGAGGAGATCTGGCTGCGCCGCCCACCTGGCTTCACTGGGTCGTTCCCTCCTGGTACCCAGTGGAGCCTCCGCCGGCCAGTCTACGGTCTCCGTCAGGCGCCTCGTGAGTGGCACGACACACTGAGGACTACGCTTGCGGCTCTCGGGTTTGCGCCCTCCACAGCTGACCCGTCACTGTTTCTGCGCACCGACACTTCGCTGCCGCCGTTCTACATCCTCGTGTACGTCGACGACTTGGTCTTTGCCACTGCTGACACTGAGGCTCTCGCCCTGGTGAAGTCGGAGCTGCAGAAGAGACACACGTGCACAGATCTGGGTGAGCTGCGCAGCTACCTTGGCTTGCAGATCACCCGGGACAGAGCACGTCGCACCATCACTCTGACTCAGTCACACATGGTGCAGCAGGTCCTTCAGCGCTTCGGCTTCACCTGGTCCTCGGCACAGTCCACTCCTCTGGCTACAGGTCACTCGCTCTCAGCTCCACCTTCGGACGAGTCCGTAGAGCCGAGTGGTCCTTACCCAGAGCTAGTAGGCTGCCTCATGTACCTGATGACTTGCACTCGTCCTGACCTTGCGTACCCTCTTGGCCTTTTGGCCCGCTACGTGGCTCCTGGTCGGCACCGAAAGGTGCACTGGGATGCTGCGAAGAGGGTACTGCGCTACTTGTGCAGTACATCGGGCATGGGGCTCGTGCTTGGAGGACGGCGAGAGGTGGTCCTCACTGGGCACTCAGACGCGTCTTGGGTTGACGACCAGGCTACACAGCGGTCGTCACAGGGTTACACTTTCAGCCTCGGCTCTGGCTCTGTTTCGTGGCGTTCTACTCGCTCGTCTTCTGTTCTCAGCTCCAGTTGTGAGGCTGAGATCTACGCCACCGCCATGGCTGCTCAGGAGCTGCGCTGGCTCACGTACCTGCTGACCGACCTGGGAGAGCGGCCTCGTTCTCTGCCAGTTTTGTACGTTGACAACAAGGCAGCCATTGCCTTGTGTGAGGAGCACAGACTGGAGCACAGAACGAAGCACATCGCTCTGCGTTACTTCCTGGCTCGAGAGTTGCAGCAGCGTGGTCAGCTTCGTCTTGCACACGTGGCCACTCGGGCCAACACTGCTGATATATTTACCAAGGCACTTCCGTCTGGTGATCATCAGCGCTTTTGTACCTTGTTGGGCCTTGTGCCTACGTTTCCACACTTGCTGTAGACTCTGCCTGTACTGTGATCTTTATATATATATATATATATATATATATATATATATACCTGCATGCTTGCTCTTGCTAGGTAGTGAGCACTGTGCTTTGTTTGTTGCATATATACCTCTGCATGTGGACAGGCCTTGTGGCCCTTTGCTTGTGCTCAGTGTGTGCGGTGACGTTGTGATCCACCCTGAGCTTGTTTTGTTTCTCTTGACTGGTCTTGTGACCCCTTGTTCTCCCCCACTTTGCCTATGGGGGTGTGTCAAACTATGCATATTGTGTTTGTGTAGGCTGCTAGTGGGGTAGCCCATATGGGGTACAACCCAATGTTAGGGTTAGCTTATGTACCCAACTCTTGATCAATGCATCATCCTTGTCTCTAGATTCTAACAGGAGGAAGGGAAGAAAGGGGGGTGATATGAAGCGTGGGTGGAAAGGGGGGAGAGAGCGGGGAAAGGAACTGAGGCAGAGGATTGGGGGAGAGAAATAGATGAAGAAAGGAAGGGGAAGTAGGAGGGGACGATGTTGGGTGGGAGGAAGGGAGGATGAAAGGGAGGAAGGGAGGATGACGGGCGGATGAGAGAAAGGGCGGATGAGAGGACATGGGGATGAGAGAAAGGGCGGATGAGAGGACATGGGGATGAGAGAAAGGGCGGATGAGAGGACATGGGGATGAGAGAAAGGGCGGATGAGAGGACATGGGGATGAGAGAAAGGGCGGATGAGAGGACATGGGGATGAGAGAAAGGGCGGATGAGAGGACATGGGGATGAGAGAAAGGGCGGATGAGAGGACATGGGGATGAGAGAAAGGGCGGATGAGAGGACATGGGGATGAGAGAAAGGGTGGATGAGAGGACATGGGGATGAGAGGACATGGGGATGAGAGGACATGGGGATGAGAGGACATGGGGATGAGAGGACATGGGGATGAGAGGAAGGGTGGATGGGAGAAAGCGAAGGGGGAAAGAGGGAGAAAGAGGGAGAAAGAGGGAGAAAGAGGGAGAAAGAGAGGGACGAAGGAGGGAGGAAAGAGTGTGACCGGGGACAATGGGGAAGGTAAAATGGTGAAACTGACACGCAGGGTTGGAGCGAGGAAGAGAGTAGGAGAGCGGGAGATGGAAAGAGGAAGGGGTCTGGATCGAGGGGGGATGAAAGAAATGTGAGAATGGTAGGAAGGGAGAACGGAAGGAAGGGAGGGAGGGAGGACGGGCGACAGAGAGGGGAAAGAGGGTAGTGAGGCAGAGAGTGTGGGAGAGATGGAGGAAGGGAGGAAGAGAGAGGGAGAGGACGACGACTGGGGGAACGAAGGAACAGAGTAAGGGAGGAGGGTAAGAGGTAAAAGTGCGGCAAGGTATCAGGGTGGAACGGGGGATAGGAGGATCCCTGCACCCTCTCTCCCTAAACCCCGCCTCCCCCGCTCCCCTGCCCCGCCTCCCCCGCTCCCATGCCCCGCCTCCCCCGCAACCCTGCCCCGCCTCAAGGGCTCCCCTGCCCTGCCTCCCCCGCTCCCTTGCCCCGCCTCCCCCGCTCCCCTGCCCCGCCTCCCCCGCTCCCCTGCCCCGCCTCCCCCACTCCCCTGCCCAGCCTCCCCCGCTCCCCTGCCCAGCCTCCCCCGCTCCCTTGCCCCGCCTCCCCCCGCTCCCCTGCCCCGCCCCCTGCAGCATTGCGCTCCTTGCTGCCCGCCTGCACGCGCTGCCCCAGCTGTGCGCCCAGCACTCTGCTCCAAAGCCGCAGCAGCACCTGCCATGCGTGCGTGGTTGGTGCAAGAGAGAGGAGGTTGGCGCAAGAGAGAGGAGGTTGGCGCAAGAGAGAGGAGGTTGGCGCAAGAGAGAGGAGGCAAGGTGGTGGTGTAGGAGTAGAGAGAGTCAAAGGGGAAGGGAAGCAACGACGAACCTAAATACGATAGGAATGGATGAGAGGGTGGGCGGTGTGGGTGGAGAAGCGATGGTGATGAAGAGGGGGAACGTGATAGGCAGGGGAGTGATGGCGACGTGGAGAGAGGCACGAGGGAAGGGAGGTCGGCGGTAAGGGAAATTTCTAGGCGACAGGGAGGGCGATGGGAGGGGAAGCGCGGGCGACGGTGGGGGAAAGCGTGGGCGACGGTGCGGGGAAGTGTGGGCGACGGTGGGAGAAATCGTGGGCGATGAGCGGCGATGCATGAAGGTGGGGGAAGGCGCTCGCGACGGTAGGGGGAAGCGTGGGTGAAGGCAGGAGGAAGCGTGAGCGGCGGTAAGGGGAAGCGTGAGCGACGATGGGGGAAAGCGTGAGCGACGATGAGGGAAAGCGTGGGCGTGTGCGTGGGGGGTATGCAAGAGACGGTTGGGGGAAGCGCGGGGGACGCGGAAGACGATAGGGCCAAATGCGATATTTGCGGAAGGGCGATGCCAGTGCGACCGAGTGCGGAAACGTGATATGGCCTCGCGTTGCTGTCATGCCGATAAGCTACGACCAGAAAAGTAGTCGAGGTCTCAATATCGGCCGTAGGAGAGATTCGTCTGGAGTTCTAAAGAAGCCGTATGATGGCTAAGAATAAAGGCGGAAGTGCTCATGGCCTATGCTTTAGTGGCTTCTTTTTCTCTCTTCGCATGAGGAACTCGCATACTATGGGTAAAAGCACGACCTGAATTACCATTTTTGCAAACTGTGCACATTTTGAGCACTTGTTCTTGTGGGGGGGGTGTGGTTGGGGCTCTCGCCAACCAAACCTCTTCTGCTCCACGACTCTGTGTTTTTTGGCGGGATGTTTTCTGGTAACCAGCTTGGCTCGGGAGGTCAACTCTGGGTTCGGTAGGCAAACTGTGCACAGTTTGCCTACTCCTTTTTGTAATTCAGGTCTTGGGCTTTAACCCAAGCTGATGCACATGCTGCAGCATGTGATTCATCCCCTCCATGGGGTTACTGGTACCTATTCTACCACCACCACTACATTCAGAGCCTCTGATCTATTGCAAGCAATGCTGCTGTGAGTGCTTCGATATTGAGGGATGCGTTCCACTATGGCATGTTTATTCAGGGTTTCACACAACTGGCAGCGCCGTGTGAAAGAAATGGGTGTTGGCTGGTGCCATGCGCTAACACCTCCTGTCAACATGCCCTCCCGGATTGGCAGTGAGATATACCTGAAATTTCACAGGGGGAGGAAAAAGGGGAGAGGGAGGGAAGTTGGCAAGCGTGGCTGGTGGGGTGGAAGGGAGGGGGAGGGGGGGGGGTGTCTTTGGTGCTCTTGGTTCGGTCAATGACCTGCCTAAAAAACGTGCACAGGTGGTCATTGATATCTGTTTGCAGTCCCCATTCACTCCCCAGTCCTCGTCAATACCAGTTGTTTGCAGCGCGTCCTCAGTTTCATGTACACAAAGATGGATGTCAATCACATTCCTTTCCACCTCCCAGCTGGTTCGCACTGGCAGTCACATCATAGTAATGTTCATTAGGATATGCGCAATCACTGGCTGATAGCGAGCAGTGCATTCAACTAAACCTTCACTAACTTGCATAAGGTTGAGAAAGCTTGACCAAGCCAGCAGATGAATAAAAGCAGCTGAGAACTGCCATCTGCTTATTCACTCTCGGATCTGTAGTGACTTAGATTGCCGGCACGGCAGCACTGACAGTGCGAGAGGGCTGCGTAACAACCTGCTGTCATGTGCCCTCTTCCCTGTGGGCTTCCAATCCAAGTCGCATGCTGTTTGGTAATCTCGCGCTCTTCGTTGGCCCACCGCGCAGCACAGCAGAGAGGGCACGGGCGGGACTAGTGGAGCATGGGAGGAACTTGTGGGGGGCAATGGCGCAAGTGGTGGGTCGTTAGTGGAAGGGGTGGGCCATCAGTGGAACTTGTGCGAGGCGATGAGGTTCTTGAGCACGTTGTTGGGCGTGAGGCACGTGTGGGGGAGCGGCTGGCCTGTGGCGGGGGAGAGCGAGGAGGAGGCCATCCAGGCAGTGATGTGCTGGCGCTCGTATGTGAAGCCATCCGCCGCCACCACTGGGTCCTTCATTATCTCCTGCTCCATGTGCATGCCCCCCCCCCCCCACCCCCCCCCCCCCACACACACACACACACACACACGCACACACACACACGCACACACGCACACACGCACACACACACACACACACGCACACACACACGCACACACGCACACACGCACACACGCACACACGCACACACGCACACACGCACACACGCACACACGCACACACGCACACACGCACACGCACACACGCACACCATGCAAGGACACACACGCGCACACACCCATGGGTAGTCACACCCATGCATGCACACACAACCATGCATAAAGACCCAGTCACATTCACCCATCCATGTCCACACAAGCACCCATGCACGCACTCGGCCATGCACGCACTCGGCCATGCACGCACAGCAAGCAGAGAGCACGCGGGCAGGCAGACAAGGTAGCTTGAGATTGGGGCGAGGAACGAGGCCTGGCCACTCTCAAATGTGAAGCAGCACACACTTGCTTGACCTCAGGCGCACACACTTGCTTGACCTCAGGCGCACACACTTGCTTGACCTCAGGCGCACACACTTGCTTGACCTCAGGCGCACACATGGCCTGTGCAGGCAGGGATATGAGCCGTGGGAACACCAACCAAACAGGCCAATGCAGCAGGTGATGCGCAGGGACACCGTACGCGCCTTGGAGATGAACAGCGAGTCGCACCTTGGAGATGGGGCAGATGAACTGCGAGTCGATGCGCTTCTTGCGTCGTCTCTCCTCCGCGCCGGCCTCAGCCGCCACGCGCACGAGGGTGGGGTGGATCTCCTCCGCCAGGTCGGGCCGCCTCTCCCTTCGCCGCTCAGCGCACCGCAGCGCCAGCGCCGCCACCTGCTCCGCCAGGTCCAGCCGCCAGTCGCCGGCCGCCGTGTCCAGATAGCGCAGCACCACCTCCGCGCCCGCCGCCGCCCTGGGCTGGGCGGGCCTGGCGGGGCGGGCGGTGCAGTCAGCGAGCATGCGGTGCACGGCCTTGACGCTCCTCTGCCCCGTGAGCAGCTGCAGCAGGATGAGGCCGAGCGCGTAGATGTCAGACAGCACGCTGATCTCACACGTCTCCACCTCCTCGGGGTCGATGTACCCCGCCGTGCCGCGCACCTTCATCGTCATCACGTCGTCGGCGCACAGCAGCCGCGCCAGCCCCACGTCGCCGATCTTGCTCATCATGTGCGCGTCCAGCAGGATGTTGTCGGGCTTTAAGTCGCGGTGCACGATGGGCGGCTCGTTCTGGTGCAGGTACAGCAGCGCCGACGAGATCTCCGAGAAGATTCTCAGCCGGTCCACCCACGAGAGAGGCACGGCGTCGGGCGTCTTTGGCGGGCCGAGCTTGTCCTGTAGTGTGCCGCCCGAGAGGAACTCGTAGATGAGGGCCATTTCCTCGACGCAGCAGCCCATGAGCAGCACGATGTTGGGGTGGCGCATGCGGCTCAGCACCTCCACCTCCATGCGGAACTCGTCTGGCCCCTGCCACCCCTGCCCCTCCAGCCGCTTCACCGCCACCTTGCACCCCAGCATCTCGCCCTTGAACACGTACCCAAATGACCCGCGCCCCAGCAGGTTCTCGCGCGCGTACCCACGGGTAGCCTTCTCCAGCTGCTTCGGCGTGAACAGCCGGCAGTCAAACCCGTCGCCGCCCGCCCCCAGCCCGCGCAGGTCGATCTGCCCCATGCTGTGCGCCCCCACATTCTGCGCACTGCTCGCGCCGCCCGTGCTGAAGCCGCCCGCGACGGGCGGCAGCAGCGAGGAGACGGTGGCGGGGCCGGCGGGGCGAGAGGAGGAGAAGCGCGAGGAGAAGCGGTTGCTGGGCGCGCCCCCCACCTGCTCCGGCGGCTCCATCTCCGCCACCGGCCGCGCTGCCTCCGCCCCCCCCGCCCCCGCGTGCATGGCATCTGCAGGTGAGTCGGCAGAGAGCGCACTCTGCGGCCCACTCAGCTGCTGCGCCCGCAGCTGCTGTGACAGGAAGCGCTGCACTCACACGTGACACGGGGGGAGAGAGAGGGAGAGTAAGTAAGGGGTTGGGATGGGGTGGAGTTGAGAGAGGAATGTGGAGGTAAGCAGACTGGCAGGGTTGGGGTGACGAGAGAGGGAGGGGATAGAGGAGCAAGAGGAGAGAGATGCAGAGAGTGCACGAGTGTGCGAACGGCTGACATGGCCCACCTCTGACTTGTTCTCGTTGCCTCGTGCCTCTGCACCCGCCTCCGCTGCTCTGTTGCTGCTCACCGCCTTGCCTTCCCACCGCTCGTCTCCCCCCCCACCGGCCTCCTCCTCCTCATCCAGCAGCGCCAGCTCGTCCGCCAGCAGCGACCGCATGCCCCCACCGCCGCCCCCGCCCCCGCCCCCGCCCACACCGCCACCCCCACCCCCGCCCCCGTCCACACCGCCATTCCCCTCCATCTCCCTGCCCGCCCCCGGCTCCCCCCTCTGTCCGTCCCCCTCACCCCCCAGCCGGCCCACAGCAGCAGCGCCGTGCGGCGTGACACAGAAGGCCACGCGCCGCACGCCAGGGCTGTCGCGCCCTGCGTGGAGGGGCGGGGCGAGGCGGCCAGTGGACGCGGGGGAGGCGCCAGAGAAGGCCAGCGCGGCCGCAGCGGCGGCGGCAGTGGCGGCGGCGGTGTCGAGCGGCATGGCGCTGGCGCTGCTCGACCGCACCGCCTCCCGCAGGCCCCCGCCGCCCACCATGCCGCTCGCTGTGTCCCTGGCCGTGAAGCGTGTGGGCGGCAGGCCCGGCTTGTGGCGGGCGGCATCGGAGAGGCTGCGCTGGTAGTCGTTCTCGTCCATGGGGGAGGCGGCCGGCAGGGAGGGCGGGGCGGGGGAGGGCAGCAGCGAGTGGTGGTACGCGTGGTGGTGGTGGTGCATGGCGAGCGTGTCAGCGATGGCTGCTGCTGCGACGCCAGGGGGGCAGTAGTCAGCGGCGAGGGTGGGCACCTCCATGGAGGAGAATGCGGAGGCAGCGAGTGACGAGTGCCCCGTGGACGCGTCCACTGCCATCATGGCCCTCAGACTCGCCAGCCGGTCCTCCTGTGACAGCCCACGCCATGCCATTCCATGCCATGCCATGCCATGCCATGCCATGCCCCACACACCACATGCCATGCCCCACACACCACATGCCATGCCCCACACACCACATGCCATGCCCCACACACCACATGCCATGCCCCACACACCACATGCCATGCCCCACACACCACATGCCATGCCCCACACACCACCCATCAGAATTCCAGGCACTCGGGAGAAGAGAGGAGAGAGCACGAGAGTCAAGGAGCGCGGAGGTAGACAGGGGAGAAGCCAAGTGGAGCAGCGGCGGGCGAGAGAGGTGAGTGGCGCGAGCATCAAGGGGGCGGACGCCAAGGGGGCGGACGCCAAGGGGGCTGCTGCGGGCGCACAGAGGCGAGGGGCACGGGACTGAAACGAGCGCATATAAGGGAGAGGGCGGTGGGAGCAGGAGGGGAGGTGGCACACATGGAGGGAGGAGAGCGCACCTGGAGGGAGGAGAGCGCACCTGGAGGGAGGAGAGCGCACCTGGAGGGAGGAGAGCGCACCTGGAGGGAGGAGAGCGCACCTGGAGGGAGGAGAGCGCACCTGGAGGGAGGAGAGCGCACCTGGAGGGAGGAGAGCGCACCTGGACAGAGGAGAGTGCGGAGGCGTTGAGGTCCCCTGGGAAGGCGGTGCTGCCGCTGCTGCTGCCCGGCCTGCCCGGAGCCTCAGCGCTGCCCTCCACGGACGAGTAGATCACTCCCGGCCGCAGCTGCTCCGCCCCCACCACCACCGCCTTCCCCCCGCCCTCCACACACGATCCTCCTCCCCCGCACGCCCCGGCGCACAGGGGTGGCGGCGCATCACACGCGCCCGCTGCAGCGCCCTCTACACCCCCCACAGCAACCCCGGGGAAGCCGCCGCTGTGGCTGCCTGTCCCTGCTAACCTCGCGCCCCCCCCTGCTCCTGCTCCCATCCCCGGCCCCAGCCCTGCCCCTCCCACGCCCCCGCGCGCCAGCATGGGAGACGCCCCCTGCGACCACGACTCCCGCACGCCCCCCAGTCCTCCAGGCGACGCGGAGGCGACCGCGGCAAGGGCAGGGGAGAAGCGCGCGCTGGACGAGCGCGCATGCTGCGGCGACAGCAGCGCGTGCGCGCCCTCCACCTGCGACAGCGACGGAGACGCGCGGTGCCCTGCCCCCCCCGCCTCGCCTGCCCTCATGCCCATACCCGCTGCCGCGGTCATAGCAGGCGCCCCAGGCACGGCGACCGAGGGCGGGTTGAGGTGCGGATTGGGGTGCTGCGCTGAGAGGTGCTCCGAGTCGGGCGTGGCGGACCCCGAGGTGGCAGAGGCGGGCGCAGCAGAGGCAGGGGCGGCGGGGGCGTTGTAGCGGCAGAAGATGAAGGCGTTGGGGGAGACGACGAAGAAGGGCGCCTCCCCCCCCGAGCCCGGCAGTGACTGATACTGCTTGGCGCCCTGCACCACCACGAGCAGGCATGACGGCGGCAGCCCCGCCTCGTAGTGTGCTGACGCTGATGCCGACCACCCCAGCAGCTTCCTGCCGCCCCCACCGCCCCACACCAGCCCCGCACAGCCCCGGGCAAGCCCAGACAGCCCCAGATAGCCCCGGACACGCAAAGAGAGTCAGATGCAAAGAGAGTCAGATGCAAAGAAAGTCAGATGCAAAGAGAGGTGGTGAGAGCAGTAAGGGTGCCAGTCAGGATTCGTACTGGGCAATGATGCTAACAGGGTGCAACGCACACAACACAGGCGGAAAGGGCGGCAGAGCAGAGGGGCAGGGCGTGCTCACTTGCGCAGGCCCACGTAGACGCGCTGCGCCTTGGCTCGGCGCGCAGCAGCGCACAGCCCCAGCTCGCGGCGGTCGTTGCGCTCAATGGACGCGTTGCAGTGCACCTGGTGCCCGCGCGGGGGAGAGGGCAGAAAGGAAAAGGAGGGGGAAGGGGTGTAAAGAAGCCCAGGCATGCGGTTGAGTTGAGAGGAGAATGGAAGCTCACACGTCAGCATACAGCTGCTCTCTTGCTCGCACAAGGACTCAGAGCAGCGCCACAGGCATCCCAGCACGATGGTGGCACCGTGCATTCACGCGGCGATAATGATGCGCGCATACAGAAGCGCTCGCCAGCTGCCGCCTGTGGCAGATGCCAGCGAGCCTGTCAGACGGCTATTTACTGCAACCAGGCACGCACGCGTCAATCGCACATTCGCAATCTTCGACTCGCCAAGCATGCTAAACCGTTAGCGCCTAATTTCATTCTGCATGAGTTGGTTTGCGGTAGCCCGGGCACGCAAGGTTTGGCGTGCGCGAGCACCTTTTTGGTTTTGGCGTGCGCGAGCACCTTTTTGGTTTTGGCGTGCGCGAGCAGCGGGCGCAGCATGACCTCGACGAGGCGGCGGCCGTGCTCCAGCGCCGTCTTCGGATCCACCTCGCTCGCCGGCAGGTCCATTCCGCCTGCCGCCCCGCGCGCCGTCGACGATGCGGGAGAGGGTGGCGTGAAGAGAGGGGGGTTGGGGTGGGGAAGGGAAGGGGGTTACGAGGGCGAGGGAGAATGGGAAGGGCGAAGGGGTGATTTGGAGGGAAAGGCACGCAACACGCGCTCAGAGGCGGTGAAGCGATGCAAGACACGCGGAGGTGTCCTTCGATTCCCGACCCCGTTGACATGACATGACCCGTGACGCCGGCAATGACCCTGCACGCAAACGGCGGGAATGCGCGACGGAACACGCTGACTCGAACCCTCGAAAACAGCGCATTAATATCGAACTCATTGATCCTTTCAACATAATCTCAAGCAAGACCAATCACGACCTAAAGCATAAAACGACGCCGCGAACGAAAATACGAAGTAAAAGAAATACGCAGAAGAGGGGAGGAGCAACATCTCGAAAAAAACGAGCGAATGGTAAGCACAGTGACGCGAAGAGAATCAAGACGGGGATTGGAATGTGATGATCTTCGCTCCTAACGGGCCTAGCCTGAAGCAGTCAGAATCCTTTCAAACTCACGGGAACACGGGACCTCAGTCATGACGTGGACGAGAAGGATAGTGATAGGTCCATTTCCCCGCGACACCTCAGTTTCGAGATCCGCCATGGCGACGGAGAGCGCATCCTTGCTGACGTCCTTGTACTTGGTCACCTCCACCACCCACGTCACTTCCGACGCCGTGGCTGTCATTGCTCGCTACGACTAAACTTCCAATATCACGAGCAGCTCAGACCACAGCACAACTACGGCCTCTGCCTAATCAGCAGTATGTCGAGGTCATAATAGCTTAATAGTCGATTAACGCAAGCATTCTAGACCGATAGCAACCCATCCAATCTTCGAACATACACAGTGATAGGACTTTAACTAGTATGGCACTAGCCATAGTTAGCCACTTAGGACGAGTATGGACATGATATGTTTTAACCTAAAGCAGCCTTGCAACTCAGGCCGTGTCCATAGTCCTGATTCCGACCCACATTGTATTTGTGTCAGGGGTGATCCTCGCCCAAATCAAACCCTAGGCGACTGTCATGGAGCCCACTGAACCTGCTCGCAGTTTCAGACAAGATTTGTCGCAGCAGAGAGCTGATGATCCACTCCCGCAGTCGGAGACTTGAAACATCCTTACAGTGAGTACGACTACTAGTGTGCTACCAGTTACAGTAGAAGCACAGAAAGACTCGTCTGAGTAGCACAGTTACAGATCACCCAAGTTTGGGGTGTGCTTTGGATTAACATCGACATGAACCTTACTCGACGAATACGGTCCCATATCAGGCTGCTTGTTCCAAGACAGAACCAGAGCGAAGCCAACGGTCCCTGGGGGATTGCGTTGGGTACAGTTCGCGGTGTATTTCGAAACACGCTGTGGCTGCAACGTCACTCACCAGAGTTAATGCGAGTATTTCTCAGTTGAGAGAAAGGACCGCCACGTACTGTAGCGTGGTTTCGCTTTCACGCAGAGTGGCTATGTTTTCGTCCCTGCCAATCAGAAAGCCAATAACGAGGGGTACCGCCCTCCCTTTTGTCCTCTGTGTGGGGACAAGCTGAAGTGTGGGTGGCCTGGACAGGGGCCCCCCCCCCCCTCCCCACCCCACCCCCTCCCCTTCAGGCCTGTCGAAGTCCCTGGGACCAAAACTTTGAGTCCTGAGCTGCTCAAATTCTGGCCCTGATTTTCACGGGCGCAAGCCGAATTAAACTTGAAATCTGGGCTACTTAGGGAAGTGTACTTAGCCCTATTGTAACAAAGGAGGATCTCAAAATACTATGCAGAAGGGAGAAGTACTCACTGCTCATCTACGCACCTACAGCCTATTATTCATCGTAGGCAAAAACAACGGGGGCAGGGTGAGGCGGGGAGGGAAGGAAGGGAAGGAATTGGGTGGCGGGGTCCTTCGAAACAGAAACCAAAACTTGGATTCAGGGGAGGGCCCAAACGAGGCCCCTAACTGTCACGGGTGCCAAGCGAGTCCAGCACTTTAAACGGTCGAGCTTCTCCGAGCATAGCCCAAAATGTTCAGGGCATTAAGGCCAAATGCCCTTACTTCCACAGCCCCGCTCCCCTCCCCCCCCCCCCTCTGCAGCACCACAGAAAGGGGGAGGAACATAAGGGCATGTAAAATTCTAAGGGCGTGTAACATTGTATCGACCAAGCCTAAAATCCGACCAAATGGTTGGTTCATGCGAATGCGAGTTGTGTAACGCTTTAACGAACCCCGCCACACATTTCGAACAGAAGGACCATTCTGTTCGCGAGCTGTGGGGCACCCACCCTGAACTACCCCCGTAATGAGAATTAAAGGTTTAATCCAAGTTTCAGCATTCGAACGGGGCGTTAATATAGTGTTTAGCAAGTTCATAGTGCTCCGAAAAAAATTCGGGGAAATAACTGGATGTCAAACAATCAGCCCTCCCTTTTTTTTTTTTTCTTTTTGGGGGTGGGGGGGATATAAGTACACTACACGCATACATACATCCTCAGTCGTAACTGGAGCTAGGAGGGTGTCGAGAAAGCTACTAGAGAAGTAACCCCACCCCCCTCCTCTCCTCTATGGTGACTGGAAGGCAACTCCCCGGTCTTCCCATACTGCTTTGAAACCCGCTCGCCACGTCAATCTGCCCTCCCTGGATAAGAGTAGTACAAGTCGCGAAAGTCGGCGTTCCAAAATTAAATGAAAATCCCACCCGATTGTTTTCCTGTAGTCAGAGTGACTACCACGTGATGCTAATCAGTGGGTGTAACCCCAAATAGTTCGCAATCGTCAGAATCGCCCAACGGTCGTTTTTTTAGGTTGGTCGGTACAATGCTACACGCCCTAACGCCCAAAGCGAATTGTCGACCTTTGGGCGGTACTGGCGCCTTCGGTTGTCATTGTTACCACCACCACTAAACGCGGCTGGGAAGGATGGAAAAAGGTGCTGGGCGGTACCGCATTAGGGAAAATGAAACACACGGGACCTTATTCATATATCAGACTAGATTTAGTCCATGACCATACAGGATCAGCCTAGAATAATGGCACAATATTGGTTTTAAACTGGCCATTGTCGATTTTTTATTCTGAATATATGCTAATCAAGCCATAAGATGACATGCACATCTATACAGAACCTAATTTGTTGCTAATTTCCCTTGTTACAGGTCGTTATGAGGCCGTCTTGCGACTACACGAAGCCGAGCTGAAGGACCAAGTGCGAGCGAATGGACTTTGATTGATGCAAAATGGCACTTTCATTACTACCCTTTATCGTAGACACTATCGAAGGTTAGGGCTTCCGTCTAGCTAATGCAGTCGCAGTCATAGGTGCAATATAGCTACGACGCACGACACGCGAGGCTGCATCCTCGAGGAAACCCCTAAAGCAGCGCATTCCCCCACCGCGCGCGTCGAGCACCGCAGGTGCTGGCCACAATGCCACACCCCTGCCGAGACCACCAAAAGGCTTGCAAGGCCTTCTGAAAGCTTCTCGCGTTGCCCAACCGCCAACCATGCGGGCCGTCCTCGCGTCAGAGCGCGCCGCATGCACGGCTCGGCTGCTCGCCGCCGCACTGTTAGCGTGCGCGCTGGGCCTCGCGTCCGACGCGCTTACCGGCACCGTGCAGACACCGATTCTCGCGGGGTCGCCTTTTCATCATCACGTGGCGGTGGCACCGGTTCGCGTGCGAGCGGCTGCGAGTCTGATCGCGGCGGCTGCGAGCGGCGGGGCGGGAAAACGGCACGCTGCTGCGCTGGCAGGCGCAGCGTTGAGTGGCGCCCTCGCGCGCCTCTATCTCCGCCGCCAGGCCCCCTCTCTGCGCGCTGACCTTGTGTGCTCCCCAGACCCCGCCCACCATTCCATCCCCCACACGCCTCCCTCCTCGTTGGCCCCCTCCAGCAATGCGCCTCCGCTGCAGGCGCAATGCGCGGAAGAAGGGCCGCAATGCGCGGATAGCAGGGCTCCGCTCTTTCCCATACTCGAAGGTAGCGTACCCCTTTGCCGCCATGAACCTCTCCCCACTTCGTGTATCCTCCCTTCTTCACCTACCCCTATCCCTTCCCATACCACCACTCCTACCATTCTCACTGCATTACTCGTGCTGCTCCCCGCCTCTCGTGCTGCTCCCTGCCTCTCGTGCTGCTCCCCGCCTCTCCTGCTGCTCTCCGCCATTCCTGCCGTCCCTCCTTGGCACTGTTGTTACTTCCACTGACCTCCTTCGCGTCCCTGCCCCTTCACCTTGCCCCTTCACCTTGCCCCTTCACCTTGCCTGGTCACCACCGTGTCTGGCCACCCCGCCCATGCGCCCCGCCCATGCGCCCCGCCCATGCGCCCCGCCCATGCGCGCCGCCCATGCGCGCCGCCCACGCGCCCCTTGCGCAGGTCTGCTGGACGCCGCGCTGCTGCATCTCATCGTCGCCGCCGCCGCGCCTCTCCTCCCCCGCCTCCCCTCGCCCGCCACCCTCACCCTCACCCCCCGCCCTGCCAACCCTTCTCCCCTCATGGCTACGGCGCTCGCCCCACCCGCCCTCGCGCTCGCCCGCCTGCTGCTGCTGCTCGCCGCCACAGCCACCGCCACATCCTCGTCCTCCTCGCTCCTCCCCCTCCTCCTCCTTACGCGCGCCCCCTCGTCCCTCCCAGCCTTCTGGGCGCGCGCCCTGCGCCTGCTGCTGGCGGACCTCGTGGCGCTGCTGCTCGGCGCGCTGCTGCTGGCCCTGGCGCACACGCCTGCTGCGCCACACGCGCACATGCAAGGGGAAGGGGAGGCGGGGCAGGCGTGGGGGAAGGAGAGCACGATGGGAGAGGAGCAGGCTGGAGCGAGCAAGGCAAGGGAGGGGGAAAACAATGGGGTTGCAGATGGCAGCGAGGCTATGGGGGAGGGAGGTAGTGGGAAGGGCAGTGGGGAGAGCAATGGGGAAGGGGGATGGGCGGAGGGGGTGTACGCTAAGGAGGGGGCGGCACATGGCAGGTGTGGGGGAGGCGTGGCGGCGAGCAGTGGGGGTGGCGGAGCATGGGGTGTGGCAGTGCTGTGCGGCGTGGTGGCGGGCAGCTGTGGCGCTCTCCTCTCAGGCGCCTTCTCCGCCTCCCATGCCGCTCCCCTTGCAGCCCTGCTCGCTCCCACCCTCCTGTGCTGCGCTGCCCACTCGCCACGGTAACTGCCTCACTGTGCATGCTTCCTGTTGCTGCGTGCTCTGCCTGTCGTCCGCTGCCCGCCTCTCATGCATGCACGGCACGGCACCTACCCACTCTGCATGCGCCTACCCACTCTGCATGCACCCCTCAACTGTGTCCACCCGCTTCTCCCTCCACCCGCTTCTCCCTCCACCAGCCACCTTGCAGCTGCCACGCTGGCACTGTCAGCATCAGCCCTGTCAGCCACGTCAGCAGGGTGGGGCCCCTTTCAACGCGTTGTTCCATTGGAAGCTACCCTACAGGTGATTGGCGGGAGAGTGCCACAGTGCCAGTGGATGATGGTGGGAATTGGCAAGTCAGTTTGCTAGGGTGGGAATGGGTGAGAGGGTGGGACTGGGTGAGAGGGTGGGAATGGGTGAGAGGGTGGGAATGGGTGAGTGAGACAGGGGAGAGTGAGACAGGGGAGAGAGAGAGGGGAGAGTGAGAGGTTGGTCACGTGGGATGATGGTACATGTATTTCGTCGCACTGCTCACGTTGCATCCTCTGCTACTTGCTCTCTTCTTTCCTCGCCCCTTGCAGCTGCAGCTCTTCCTGCTCGCCCTCCTGCTGCTAACCCACCTGCTTCTGCCGCTCTCAACCGCCCTCCGCCCGCCCTGCATCACCTGCTGCCACACCGACGCGTGAGTTGTTTGTCGTGCGCCCACCAATCCAACCACACATACCTCCGTGCGCCCACCAGTCGATACCTCTCCACCGCTTGATACCTCTCTACCAGATCGTCTCGCCAAGCCCAATCCTCCCATCCCTGCAATCTGTCGCAAGATGCCCATTCCTCTCCCACTGCCGTCCCTCCCCCACACATTTTTTATCTCGTTCGCGGGCCCTCAGGGCGGAGCAAGTGGAGCGGGCGGCGTGGGCGCGACGGGTAGCAGCACTGGAGGGGCAGGTGGCTGTGCTGGAGGGCGAGGTGCAGCGGGAGCGCAAGGCAGCGCGCGCGGCAGGGGAGGCGGTTGAGGCGGCGGTGGAGGCGAAGGTGCAGTTCATGGCGAACATGAGCCATGAGATCCGCACACCCATCCACGGCATCCTTGGCATGACCGACCTCGCACTCGACTCCCCCCTGCCCCCCGACGCCAGGGAACACCTTGAAACCGTCCTGCAGTCCGCCAACCACCTGGTAACCGCCTGGTAACCGCCTGATAACCGCCTGGTAACCACCTAATAACCGCCTGGTAACCACCGTAATCGCCTGGTAACTGCCTGGTAACCGCCTCAAAGCTTGTGCTTGGACTATGTCGCAAGTGGCTCTCTTATCATCACGTGTTTCTCCTCTCATGTTGTTCTTCCTTTCCTGCTCCGCCCCCCCCCCGCCCCGAAACCTGCTCCCTGTCCTACCCGGCCATTACTCCCTGCGCTGTTGGCGTGTGCGTGTGCGTGCGTGCATGGGTGGGTGGGTGGGGCCATGGGCCCGGGTCACAGCTGCTGGTGGTGAACGACATTCTGGATATCACCAAGCTGGAGGCGGGGCGCCTGCAGCTGGACGCCGCCCTCTTCGACCTGCGCGCCCTCCTCAACGGCATCATGACAATGCTCGCTGCCCGCGCCGCCCTCAAGGGCCTGGCCTTCCACTGGGAGGTGGATGCGGCTGTGCCGCCCGTGCTGGTGGGAGATGCCGTGCGCCTGCGACAGTGCCTGGTAGGCTTTAAGCTGCGACAGTGCCTGGTAGGCTTTAAGCTGTGATGCTCTGTTCTCAGGTGCCTCCCACTGTGCGTGGTGCTGCCAGGTCATTCTTGTTTATTGCTGATGGTATGTTAGGGTGGTGGGTGCATGGGGTGGTGGGTGCATGAGGTGATGGGTGCATGGGGTGATGGGTGCATGGGGTGGTGGGTGCATGGGGTGATGGGTGCATGGGGTGATGGTTGCATGGGGTGGAGCAATGAAAGCATGTGTAATCGTTCACGGCTCACTGCTGTTTCCTCTGCCATGTGTGCTGTGCTGTGCTGTGCGGTGAGGGCAGGTGAATCTAGTGGGCAACGCCATCAAGTTCACGGACCACGGCAAGGTGCACATCACCGTGCACCCCTTCCACCCCTCCCTCCTCCCAGCAACCCTCTCCCTCATACCGCTGTCCTCCTCCCACTCCTCTCCCTCCTCCTCCACCATGTTTCCACCACAAGCGCTCACACCGCCCGCTCACTTGTCGCCCTGCAATTCCACCGCCACCACCACCGCGCTCTCGTCTTGTGCTGCGTCTGCCTGCGCCACCGGCCTACCCCCTTCGCCTTCCGCCTCTTCTGTCCCTCATGGCCCTTCTCCTGCGCGGGGCGACGCGGATAATGGGGGCCATGGGAGCAATGGGGGCCATGGGAGCAATGGGGGCCATGGGAGCAACCGGGGTGATGGGAGCAACCGGGGTGATGGGAGCAACCGGGGTGATGGGAGCAACCGGGGTGATGGGAGGGGGTCAGAGGGAGCAGCAGCGCAGGGGGGAGAGGGAGTGGCGCTGCTCTTCACCATCACTGACACGGGCGTTGGTGAGTTGACGAGGGCGTTGGTGAGTTGATACCCTTGGCAATTCTGTGTGTTGGCAGTGCTGCCATGTGCCATGCTGTGTGTTGGCAGTGCTGCCATGTGCCATGCTGTGTGTTGGCAGTGCTGCCATGTGCCAAGCTGGGTGTTTGCCACATGTGCATGCACTGCTGCTTCATCCACTCTTTCCCACCTCCGTCCTCCTCTGCCCACCCTCCGCCCTCCGCCCTCTGCCCTCTGCCTTTCGCCTTGTGCTTGGCCCTCCGCCCCACACGGTGCGTCCTGTCCTGGCACTGTCCCTGGGTGGGCGGGCAGGCATAGCTGTGGGCGAGCAGAGGCGCATCTTCCACGCGTTTGAGCAGGTGGACTCGTCCATGTCCCGCCAGCACGGCGGCACGGGGCTCGGCCTCTCCATCACCTCCCGGTATGCCCGCCAACACTCCCTTCTCCTCACCCACCCTCACCACCACCCCCAGCTCCTACCACCCTCTCATTTCCGCTGCCAGGCAGTCCTTTACATCGTCCTGGATGGCACGGTTGCATGCGAGAGAGCAGCAAGTGAAGCTGTTCCACCCCACTAGTGCGAGATGCCCAACCAGGCACATGCACGTACACCCAGAATGCCCACCTCTGCTTCCCTGTGCCCCCCACCCCGTCTGCAGGCTCGTTCACATGATGGGCGGCAGCATTTGGCTGCACTCATCTCCTGGAGCCGGCAGCACCTTTGCCTTCTCTGCCACCTTTGCTGCGCCGCCCCTCTCCCCCTCCACCCCCCATGCTGCCCTCCCCCCGGCCCCCCGGCGCACGGTGAGTGCGGAGGAGCTGGACCGCCGCCTGGCCCTGGACGCCCTCTCGCTCTCCCTGCTGCCCTCCCTCGTCCTCCACCGCTCCTCCTCCCGCGCCCTGCCTCCCCCCCTCTCCCCCTCCGCCGCCTCCTCTGCTGCCAGCACTGCGGCACCTCTCTCTGCCCGCTCGCCTGCTGCGGCCCGCGTGGGCTTCAGCTTCCCAGGGCAGGCAGATGCCGCCGTGGACGCTGCAGCAGGCGGGGCAGGGGAGCAGGGCGCACCAGGGAGGGGTGCAGCGGCAGAGCGAGGTGGACGCGAGGGTGTGGGCATGAGCACAGACACAGCAGGGGGTGTGGGTGGCAGGGGTGCAGTGCAGGCGGTGAGACGGGGCGAGGGCAGGGAAGGGCGCAGCCGGCGGCGAACACAGAGCTTCACATGTGGGGATGCGAGCACAGGGCGCATGCTGGAGGAGGTGCTCAAGCAGGCGAGCACGGAGCAGCACCCAGGCCAGCTGTCCTCCAGCAGACTCGGTGCTGCTAGTCCCCATGCCCATGCCACCGCTGCCCTTGCAGCCACCTCTGCACTGGTTGGTGCGAGGGGCAGCAATGGTAGTGGTGAGGACCCTCGCTGTGACGAGGCTCATGGTGACACAGGCTCCCACGCTGACAGCGCGCAACACAGTGGTGGCAGGGTTACAGCAGCAGTGGCAGCCGCGGCAGCGGCAGTGGCAGCAGCGGCAGCTGCTGCAGAAAAGGGTGCAGAGGAGGCCTCTTCAGGTTCAGATGGGTGGTTGTTTCCGTTCAGTCTTCGTGCTTCTCATGGCCCTCAACCACTCCCCCCGCAGCAGCCACAGCAGCAGCAGCAGCAGCAGCAGCAGGTTGAGGAGAGGAAGCAGCAGGGGCGTGAGGCAGTGGGGCAGCTGGAGAGGAGCAGCAGCGAGGGCTTTGCCATGCGGCGGCGGCATCTGCTGGTGGTGCGCGGGCGCACTCGGTCCCTGGAGTGCATGGGGTCCAGACAGGCACGCGAGTGGGCTGGCGCGCGCTCAGAGCACAGTGGGGATGCGCAGGGCGGGCAGAGAGAGGGCGATGAGAGGGGCACAGGCGGCGCCACAGGCAGCGGAGCAGCAGTGGCGGGCAGAGAGGGTGGTGGTGGGCATGGTGGCGAGGAGAGCCGGCAGGTGAGCAGCAGCCGTGGGGTGGAGGTGCCCCGCCTGCCATCGTGGAGCCCTCGCAGTGGCAGTGGGGCGCGCATGGCAGGCAGTCCCCGCTCAGTGGGGGGCATGGGGGGCAGAGCAGCAAGCAGCGAGCCCAGAAGCCCCCATGCACAAGCAGGTGCGGTTCGTGGTGGTGGTGGTGGCATGGACAGTGGTGGCGCGGAGGCGAGTGTGGCGAAGCTGAGTCGCGTGGTGGAGAGGGAGGACGAGGGGCTGAGTGAAGATGACGCCCCCGCCGCCCGCACAGCGCAGCAGAGCAGGAGCGAGGCGCGAGTGCGGCGAGGCAGCGCTGGGCGGCTATCGGTGGAGGGAGGCGTGGCGGAGCTGCAAGGGGCGCGTGCAGACGGTGACAGGGAGCAAGGCGGCGCTGGTGTGCAGAGAGAGCAGGGCGGCGCTGGTGTGCTGAGAGAGCAGGGCGGAGGGCAGGGTGTGGGGAGGGCGAGAGGAGAAGAGGAGCGGTTGGAAGGACTGAGTGCGAGTGAGGAGGACGGGAGAGAGGAGGTGGGACAGAGAGGCCGGAGCGGATGGCAGGGTCCTCCCTTGTCAGTCGGTGCGAGTGGGTGGTCGACGGAGGCAGCAGCTGAGATGCGCCCCAGCGTGAGCTTCAAGGAGAATCTCTCTGCACGCCACGATGAGGGCAGGGAACCCTTGCAGGCAGCGCAGGGCACTGCCAGCCCTGCCCCCTGTGAGGCACTCAGTCGTGGCGGTTCAAGCAGCGGTAGCGGAGATGCAGCCATGGCTGCTGCAGCGGAGGCGGTATCAGGCAGCAGGGCAGGTGCAAGTGGGTCGTTGGGGCGGCAGAGGCAGCTGCGAGTGCAGCACCTCACCTTCCAGCTGCCTGAGGACACCTCCCCCGCGCACTCGCCCTCCACCCCCACCTTTGACTCGCGCCGCCCCTCCCTCAAGCCGCCTGCTCATGCTCCTGCGCCCGCTGCCCCCTCCGCCATCTCACCGCGGCCGCCTGTGTCCCCGCGGCGGCCTTACGGGGACGCGGGCGAGCCGAGCACCATGGAGGCCATCTACGCGCGCATCCAGGCCCAAGCTGCCGCCTCCCGCCCTCTCGCCCCCACGCGCTCGCCCCCCACCACCGCTGCTGCAGGCGACGGCGCGCGCAGCTTGGCGCGCGGGAGAGAGCCGCCCGCCCTGGACGTGCCGTCCACACCGTCGTCCTCCGCACGCCGATCTGCTGGAGGGGGGCTGCTGCGCCAGAAGTCAGGCGGGCTGGCGCTGCTGCAGCGGCAGGGCACGGGGGTGGGGCGGCAAGGCGGGGGCTTAGTGAGGCAGGGAACGGGGCTGGGGCGGCAAGCTAGCGTGAAGCTGAAGCAGAAGCCGGTGCGTGCGGCAAGCCCGCGGGCGGTGCTGTCGGTGACGGCGCTGAACATCCTGCTGGCGGACGACAGCGTGGTGAACCAGAAGGTGGCGGTGCGCTTCCTCAAGAAGAAGGGCATGGTGGCGGACGCCGTGGGCGATGGCGCGCAGGCCATCCAGCGCCTCTACCCCAAGGATGGCGGCATCTCCCCCTACGACCTCCTGCTGCTCGACGTGCAGGTGGGCTATCACCCGTACGTGGTGCACGTTTGCCAGATCTATGCAGGTGAGAGATACCGTCAGCTCGGAGGGCGAAATCCCAAATCATACGGTCTGAAGGAAGTATTAGTCACCAGTGAATCCCTTTCTTACTTGCAATATTCATTCTTGTGTGTGTGTGTGGGTGGTTGTGCGTGGGGCCTGTGTGTGTGGTTGGTTGTGCGTGGGGCCTGTGTGTGTGTGGGTGGTTGTGCGTGGGGCCTGTGTGTGTGTGGTTGGTTGTGCGTGGGGACTGTGTGTGTGTGGTTGGTTGTGTGTGGGGCCTGTGTGTGTGTGGTTGGATGTGCGTGGGGCCTGTGTGTGTGGTTGGTTGTGCGTGGGGCCTGTATGTGTGTGGTTGGTTGTGCGTGGGGCCTGTGTGTGTGGTTGGTTGTGCGTGGGGCCTGTGTGTGTGTCGTTGGATGTGCGTGGGGCCTGTGTGTGTGTGGTTGGTTGTGCGTGGGGCCTGTGTGTGTGTGGTTGGTTGTGCGTGGGGCCTGTGTGTGTGGGTGGTTGTGCGTGCGGCCCGGGGCGCAGATGCCAGTGATGGACGGGCTTCAAACAGTGCGGGTTATTCGTGAGAAGGAAACGGCAGAGAAGCTTCCCCACCTTCCAGTCATTGGTACGCTGCTGCTGCATTCCTGTCCCTTGAACATGCTACTTACGTGGCTGTGCCCATGTTGCTCATGTGTCACAATACATCGCTTCCATGTTCACATGTGCCACTGCCCATATCCAACCCAAACCCCTGGCTGTAGCCTCGTGTCCCTCGGCTGTGGAGGGAGCTGGTGCATGCCTGAGTGCGATCTCGCCCCCCCCTGCGTGTGTGAGCAGGGCTGACAGCGCATGCGGCTGACGTGTACCGCGACCAGTGCATCTCCGCCGGCATGGACGGCTTCGTCTCCAAGGTAACCGCACGCACTCTCCGCAACTCCTCCCCCCTTGCTCCCCTCCCGCGCTTCACCCTCTCTCTGTGGATGCATAGATGCACAGTGATGCCTTCCTGGATTTGCACATGTAGAAGCATGCACGGACACACATTCGCACCCCATGAAACTGCACACACGCAGGCAAGCAAGCACACAGTTTAACAGTCCTGAGCATGGTATTGAGTTACGGTACTGATCCATTTACTGATCCAACTACTGATCCAGCTACTGATCCAGTTACTGATTCAGCTACTGATCCAGTTACTAATCCATTTTCCAAATTTCCTCCCTTTCCCACCAGCCATTCACTGTGAATCAGCTGTTGAGCATGATGCAGTCTGTGCTTGAAAAGTATTCACATAAACGATTGCCACCTGAAGCTATGGCATCGTAACAGGCAACACTCTTATAGCCTATTTATAATTGATAGTTTTCTTGCAAGAGTACCCTACCCTAGTCTATCTATGGATGAAAATTTCTATTGCAAGAGTAACACTACCCAACTTCAGTTTGTTGTTAGATTTACTTTAGAAAGGATGTTCAGAAGGGCAAAACGTTTGTGCAAAAAAAGAAAAGGTGTATGTATATGCCACTTTTATGGTTCCTCTTTTTTTTTTTCTTTTTTTTTTTTTGCCACTTTTGATCTACCCAATCTAATTGGATTGCTAAAACATTGTGCTTTCTTCTTCCCTTCGAAAAACAGTGTACCGGCTAGGATATCCGGGAGAGGATATTCAGGAGAAAATATTCGGGAGAGGATATCTGAGAGAGGATACTCGGACGAGGATATCCGGGAGAGGATATCCAGGAGAGGAAATATCCGGGAGAGGAGATCCTAGAGAGGATATCCGGGAGAGCATATCCGGGAGAGAATGATATTTGGAGAGGATATCCGGAATTGGATATTCGGGAGAAGGATATTGGGGAGATGATAACTCTGGGAGAGGATATTTGGGAGATGATATCCGGGAGATGATTTTCGGGAGAGGATATTCGGGAAAGGACATCCGGGAGAGAATATCCGGGAGAGGATATATCCAGAAGAGGATATTTGGGAGAGGATTTCTGGGAGAGGATATTTGGGAGAACATATCCGGGAGAGGATATCTGGGAGAGAAAATTCGGGAGATGATATCCGGCCCGGACTGACGTTTCATTTTAGGCCTCCCTGATTCCGGGGAAAATTTTCCCCCTCTATTATGGGTGCACATTTTCCAGAAAAACAGTACCCTGATTGCTCAGGGTTGTAAAGTAGTTAACTCTGATTGTTCAGGGTCGAGAATTGAACATCAGATTAGTAACGCGCTCTTGGTTACCGGGGAAAAATGTCTCACTCTCCATGAAGCCTGCGCGCTGTGTTTCATGCTGGCCGTGCACTCGACTATTTTGTGCAGGGCGGGTGCGATTGACCTATCTGGTGTGCGAGTGTAACGTTTCCCTGTCTTATTACCATGCCCAATCGGATCTCTTCAGACACCCTGCGGCTGTTTGTAACGTTTTAGAGAGGGTATGTGGGAGAGGTTATACAGGAGAGGATATCTAGGAAAGGATATCAGGGAGAGGATATCCGGGAGACATGTGCAGAAAATGCAGCAGGCATCTCTCATTTGCGAGCACCAATGACCGATCATGCTCGCCACCCTCCCACGGTCTTGTTGGCTTAGTAATAGGACCAAACGCACAAAACCGCACGGCCCAACGGAAGAAAAATGCTCGAAACGAGCGTTTTCATCTCCAAAACGCGGAAGAGTTCGCACATGTGCAGAAAATGCAGCAGGCATCTCTCATTCGCGAGTACCAATGACTGATGATGCTCGCAACCCTCCCACGCCCTTGCTGGCTTGGTAATAGGTCCAAACACATAAAACCGCGTGACCCAACGGAAGAAAAATGCTCGGAACGAGTATTTTCAACTCCAAAACGCGGAAGAATTCACACAAGTGCAGAAAATGCAGCAGACATCTCTCGTCCGCGAGTACCAATGACCGATCATGCTCGCCACCCTCCCACGCTCTTGCTGGCTTGGTAATAGGTCCAAACGCACAAAACCGCATGACCAAACAAAAGAAAAATGCTCGAAACGAGCGTTTAGAGCTCCAAAATCCGGAAGAATTCGCACATGTGCAGAAAATGCACCAGACATCTTTCATTCGCGACTACCGATTATGCTCGCCACTCTTCCTCCCACGCCCTTGCTGGCTTGGTAATAGGTCCAAACACACAAAATCGTGTGACTTAACAGAAGAAAAACACTTGAAACGAGCACATTTAAGCCCCATAACAAAAAAGAACTCGCATATATGCAGAAAATGCAGCAGGCATCTCTCATTCGCGATTACCAATGACCGATCATGCTCGTCACCCTCCCACGCTCTTGCTAGCTTGGTAATAGGTCCAAACCCACAAAATGGCATGATCTAACAGAAGGAAAATGCTCGGAACGAGCACATTTAAGCCCCAAAACTCAGAAGAATTCGCACATGTACAGAAAATGCAGCAGACATCTCTCATTTGCGAGAACCAATGACCGATCATGCTTGCCACCCTCCCGTGCTCTTGCTGGCTTGGTAATAGGTCTAAACGTATAAAACCGCGTGATCCAACGGAAGAAAAATGCTAGAAACCAGCGTTCTCAGCTCCAAAACGTGGAAGAATTCGTACATGTGCAGAAAATGCTGCAAGCATCTTTCATTCGGGATTACCGACGACCAACATGCTTGCCACCATCCCACGCTCTTGTTGGCTTGCTAGGACCAAACGCATAAAACCGCATAACCAAACGGAAGAAAAATGCTCGAAACGAGCGTTTTCATCTTCAAAACGCGGAAGAATTCACACATGTGCAGAAAATGCAGCAGGCATCTCTCATTCACGAGTACCAGTGACCGATCATGCTTGCCATCCTCCCACGCTCTTGCTGGCTTGGTAATAGGTCCAAACGCACAAAACCTCGTGACGTAACGGAAGAAAAACCCTCAAAACGAACGTTTTTAGCTCCAAAATGCGGAAGAATTCGCACATGCACTGAAAATGCAGCAGACATCTCTCATTCACGAGTATCAATGACCGATCATGCTCGCCACCCTCCCACGCTCTTGCTAACTTGGTAATAGGTCCAAACGCACAAAACCGCGTGACAAATCGGAGGAAAAATGCTTGAAACGAGCATTTTCAGCTCCACAACGCGGAAGAATTCGCACGGGTGCAGAAAATGCAGCAGCCACTCTCATTCGCGAGTACCAATGACCGATCATGCTCCACACCCTCCCACGCTCTTGCAGGATTGGTATTAGGTCCAAACGCAAAAAACCGCGTGATCCAACGGAAGAAAAATGCTCGAAACGAGCGTTTTCAGCTCCAAATCGCGGAAGAATTCGCACATGTGCAGAAAATGCAGCACAGATCTTTCAATCGCGACTACCAATGACCGTTCAAGCTCGCCACCCTCCCACGCTCTTGGTGGCTCTGTAATAGGACCAAACGCACAAAACCGAGTGACCCAACGGAAGAAAAATGCTCAAACGAGCATTTTCGTCTCCAAAATGTGGAAGAATTCACACGTGCAGAAAATGCAGCAGGCATTTCTTACTCGCGAGTACCAATGACCGGGGTTTAGGGTTTAGGGTTTAGGGTTTAGGGTTTAGGTTTTAGGGTTTAGGGTTTAGGGTTTAGGGTTTAGGGTTTAGGGTTTAGGGTTATGGATGACGCCTCTGGGGCATTTCCGTCTAGGGTTTAGGGTTTAGGGTTTAGGCTTAAGGGTTTAGGGTTTAGGGTTTGGGTTTAGGGTTTAGGGTTTAGGGTTTAGGGTTTAGGGTTTAGGGTTTAGGGTTTAGGG